CCCACAAGGCCTCCGCGTCCGTCACCACCGTCGTCTTCTTCCCCGCCGACCTGCCCTTCTTGCCTGTGTACTCCACTTGTGTCCCGATCTTGACCATGTCCGCCGTCACCTTGGGGTCCTTGTCGAACTCGGCCACGGCGACCATGAGCATCGCGGCAAAGAACAAGTTGAACAGCAGCGGGGCCAGGTTGCATCCCTGTCGGAGGCCTTGGCCCACGTCGAACCATTCCGAGTACTGCCCGTCGTCCGTTCGGACGCGCGCCCTCATGCCCTCGTGGAAGTGGCGAATGACCGCCAGCATCTTCATGTGTAGTGGCACGAATGAATGTTGAGTACCACATATCGCGTATCTTGGAATCGATCTATTGAGCGTGGCGGCGAGATTGCGCGATGCGCTGCAGCTCGACTACTGCTGAGAGGTGGAGCTTGCTGTGTGGCTTGAATTGAAGGGCCAGCCCGTAGCTACAAGCAGATACCCTGGTCATCCTGTGGGAGTCTCTCGATGTGGAGTTACAGCGGCGAGTAGAACCTACTGTCACGAGTCGCTAGCACGCAGGGTAGAGGTCTCAAGTGTGTAAGCAGTAAGTACNCCCCCCAACTTGACATCACGACACAAAAGAATCCACACGATACACGGGTAAATGTCCCCCCACCCCAACATGCACGAATCAGCAGCCACTGGTGCGGTGACGACGATCTTCAGTGAAGACAACGTTCCAGCTCCTGACGCGTCAACTCCTCCCAGTTCTGGTAACTGTAACGCACACGCCAGTAGCGGTCTCGGTAACCAAATACTTGTTCTTGGAGCTTTTGCCCTCCGCCAAAGTCTTTCTGGAAAGTGAAACCTTTTGGGTAGATTCGCAGGGCTTCACGAGGGGACAACGGTGCACGCGGTAGGGAGCGTGGGGTAAGTTGAGACGCCAATTCAGGATAGTACAGATGCCATAGTGCAATGAACCCGTCCAACTGCAAGCGTGTGAACGTGCGGAGAAGCTCAGGTTCCGACAGCCGCACGGACTCTACACCAGTCTGTGATACGGCTTTGTACTCCCACACCAAGGCACCGGTAGGCGAATGCACACGACGGCAGTCAGAGAGGGAGACAAACGTCCCTAGTCCAGGTTGCTCGACAGGTGCTGCACAATCAGGGCCCCACGCGAACTGCATGAATTCCTCGGCAATAGAATGTCTCAAATGGGGTGGGCGAAGGTGCAAGAGTTTCAACTCGGCCGTGCAAACTCTCCGCGAACGCAGCTTTCTACCCTGCATCTTCACTTGCACACTCAAGCCCCTCTGCAAAACTTCTTCTACTGTCCAAGGGCCGGTGTAGAGGTCGTGCTGCAACTTCCGGCCCCGCTTGTCTCGGTGAAGATTGCTGTCGGCTTCGCGCACCATAACCAAGTTGCCTTTCTCTACCGTTAGCGACGCCGTACTCCTCGAAATATTGGCGTTCGTCTTGGCCCTCGCTGCTACCCGCAGGTCGTGGCGCTTCTCGAGCACCAACCGAACTTCCCGAAGGTTCTGCTTGCGCCGTTCAACGAAGTTGTCCAAACCTCCCGAAGGATCTTGGTTACCCTCGTCTGAAAGCGGCACCAGCGAGTCCAACGAGGTGCGGGGTTTACGACCGAACAACAGTTCAAACGGGGTCATGTGCGGGTGAACGGAAATGTCTGGCAGCGTGCGCTTAATCCAGATGGCAGGCGATACATACTCATCCCAACGGTCGTTCCAGCATTTGCACAGCTCTGCCAACAGCTCTTGCATCCAGCCTCCTAGCCTCTCAACTGAGCCTTGCCCTTGGGCATGATCTGCTACTGCAAAAGCGATATCCGCCTGTAACCACCGGCACAGGTGAGTCACTACTTCTCCGCGGAACTCTTTACCGCCATCGCAACGAATGGTTGTGGGGACGCCGAAAGTTAAACACAGTTCCTACAATGCTCTAGCTACTCCTATTGCTTCCTTGGTCGCAAGAGGGAAACCGAAAGGGAATTTGGATGCACGGTCTACCACAAGCAGGATGTACTTGTTACCAGACAATTATGTCGTGTCAATTTTGAGTAGGTCAATCTCAAGTTCATCCCAAGGTTCCAATGGTCTCCCTGGCAGCATAGGTACGCGTTTACTAGTGGGCCTTCTGCGACGTCTGCAGCTACACGACAAAACGTACTGACGGACATCTCGTGTGAGTTTAGGCCAGTGCAAGTGATCCCGAATTAGTGCTAAGGTCGCTCCAACTCCTGCGTGTCCATGTAATGTGTGGACCAACGCTAGGATGTCAGCCACCATGCTTTTGGGGGTCGCTATTACCAGTTTTCCTTTCTCAAACTCGAACCTTAGCACTCCCTTATCATCCAAACTGTATCCTGCTTCACCACTCCCCCCTAGATCCCGCCGAACCTGGCCCAAAAGGGCATCGTCTTGCTGGCGCCGAATAAGCGTGTCCGGGTTCTTCAGCACTCGTAGTGCCCTGTGAATTGCCGTCGACCCCGTGTCTACCGCTGACCGAAAGGGCAACTCCCCCCCTGCTGAAAGCACCTCCTCCACGTCGGCGGACCTTGTGCACTCGGGCTGCACCGGCTCCGGTGGATGAGCCGGGGGTAGCTCGATGGCCTCAGGTGCGAACGCGCGTTGTAGTCCAGTTGATAACACCTGTGCCACGGTAGGCAGCTGAGGGTCTTTGAGGGGTTGTAGGCGTACTGAGGGCGTGCGTCGTCTGCCTGAGCGACGTGGCGGTGCAAGTTCATCGAGCGAGGCACAGGCAGCGAACAGGAAGTCAGCCAATAGTGGTGCTATGACCGCGGGATCAATCTCACTATCGGCATTTACGGGTTCGGATTCGTCCGTGCTCGAGAGGTTCGCGAGACGCACACCATCAAGCACAGGGCCTGGCGGGCCCACAAAAGTAGCGGAATCCGGGGACGTGAAATCGTCAGGAAAAGAGCCGTCTACATCTACGGAGGGGCTACTGGCGACGGGGAGACGGGACAGAGCATCTGGCAACACGTGATGTACTCCTGCCCTCCATTCTAGTACTATGTCGTACTCCATGAGGCGAAGAGCCCATCTATAACTTGGGACAAAGTTCTCTACTACGAAACAACCACGTGAGTGCAGAGCAATCCGTCACGACTTTGAACAGTCTACCAGCTAGGTACGGCTTGAAATGATCAACGCCCCACAATACTCCCATGCATTCCCGTTCCGTGGGTCCCCGTCGAGCGTCGGTGCGAGAGAACTTGTGGCTAGCGAAAGCGATGATCCTGGGTGTACCGTCTATTGTCTGCAGCACGGTAGCACCTGCGCCCACTGAGCTAGCGTCTGAGTGCAGCTCACAAGGCTAACACGGTAGGGGGAGCCAGGCACTGTCTTAGGTGGTGGAAGGCGTGTTCCTCCGCTTGCCCCCACTGAATTGGGAGTTTACGTGCGCAAAGTCCTTGNACGCGTGAACGCGGAAGGTAGAACTGTTAGTCCGAAACCCGCACGGGTAAGCTCTNCGTGAACGCGGAAGGTAGAACTGTTAGTCCGAATACCGCACGGGTAAACTCGTACAACATGCCGTCTGCGTCACGGAAGGCTGTTTTATACCGATCCTTTTCGGCAATTTCAATTTGATGAAAGCCCGACGCTAGATCGATCTGAGTGAAGTACCGCTTGCCTTTCAGTCCATCGAATATGGTTTGCATATCACCTAGCCCGCCACTGTCGGCTACCAGAAGCTTGTTCAACACCCTCCAGTCAATACACAGTCGTATAGTTCCATCTTTCTTCTTGACACACAAGCATTGAGCTGCCCAGAGTGACATGGTGAAGAGGCGAAGATTGCCTGTTCGGTCCATTCTATTGATATGGTTGATGCGAAACCACGCAACAACCGTTTAACGTCGTGACGGTCCTACGGCTCTCGGCACGAGGATTAAGAGGTCTTGATGGAGCAAGAAGCAAATACTTGATATCTACAGCAAACTGGTTGCTTATTAACACGCGACATTTTCTTGGGTACTTCGCTTCGTGTGGCGGTGGCTGTTGTTGCTGATCTTCTCGCACCAAGGCTAAGCTGCTGTTCCTTGTCCAACGAGACTCATCATAACCTCCCCCCCTCGGAAGGCAATCATTCACGGTGTCGGAGAAGTGATATTACGTCGCGGGAGATTCCCCCTTGCTGAAGACATCCAGAGGGTGTTTGCAGCAATACATGGTAATCCCGCGACGTACTTCGAACGTAGGAGAAACTCCCGCCCATGCCATGGCGTGGAGTACCCGATACACTCACAACTACTGGAAAACAACTGGACGATAGCATGCTATTTTTGCAGGATTGAAAACGGACTACGCGTGCCACATGATTGGACACACACGCGCAGTGCGTGGGAGGGTACTCGAGCAAAACAAACGGTAAGCAGCGGGCAAGCGCATGGGTTGTGTCAGTACGCTGGTCACACACAATGTGCGCGCTCAATGAATATTCGCAGCGACACAGACACAGCAGGCACCGGAAGAAAACGCAAGCGTGAAGTTGGTAGTGTTAGGAGAGTTATGTAGGCGGTTGTGTCAATAAGCTGGTCACACACAATGCGCGCGCTCATTGAATATTCGCAGCGACACAGACACAGCAGGCACCGGAAGAAAACGCAAGCGTGAAGTTGGTAGTGTTAGGAGAGTTATGTAGGCGGTTGTGTCAATAAGCTGGTCACACACAATGCGCGCGCTCATTGAATATTCGCAGCGACACAGATACAGCAGACAACCGAAGAAGCGTGCTAGGGATGTTGTTAGTGCTAAGTGTTGGTTGATCAAACTGAGCCTGCGCTCTTGAACATTCGTCGGTGTGTGAACCTTGTGCTTGCGAGCATGGGATGGTTGCGAAGCAGCTGAATCGGAAGCGCGAGTGATGGAATAGTTCGTGGGGCATGACGCGCGTGGGAGATTCGACCGGCGTTTCAAACCGACCTCACGGTCTAGCAGCTGCCCCCGCGAGAGATCTCTTTTGGATCTCCGTTGGCACGACAAGCGCTGCTAATGCGTACGGGGCCGTGCCGGATAATCCCCTCGGTCTACGATAGTGCCTGGGTGGTACGACATGCCTTCAAAAACCCGTGCTCCAGACCGCGGCACCTCCCCCCTTGCGGAAAGCAGTAGTCCGCGGTCCCCGGGAAACTGTGCTGCGACGGTCACGTGATATCCCCCCCACGAAAAATGGCGGGACTGCTGTTGCCATAATAAATAGGACGAAAACACACACACAACACACAAACACAGGTGGCAAGAAAACAATGAACAAGAACATCACGACGTGAGACGTGCGTTTCCTCCCAAAGCGTCGAAAGGAACACTCAAGGTGTCCAGTGGCTCTGGCCAAAGTCGCAAGAGCGGCCGAATCGGGTTCGGGCCAATGAAGTAATCACGAATTAGTGAAAATGGTAGTCTGACTCTTGTAGTTCATGTTATGTGTGGATTACATCGAGAATATTGGCCCCCATGCATTTGGGGGTCGACATCAGAAGCTTGGGCTTGCAGCTCTCAACCTCGTAACTCAGAACTCCCCTACCATCCACACTGTAGCCTGAGCTGCACCCTTCCCTAGATCCTCCCGAACCTGACCCCAAAGGGTATCCTCCTGCTGGCGTCGAACGAGCAAATCCGGGCCCTTCGGCACGCATAGCGCCCGGTGGACCGCTCGCCGTGGACCCTGTGTCCACTGCCGCATTTAGGGGCAACTACCCACGTGCTGAAAGCACCCCCCCCCCGTCGACGAACATGGCGCGCTCGGGGTGGGCCGGCTCCGATCGAAAGTAGCAGACGCACAGCAGCGACGTTCGTACGCTCGGCAGCGCCCCGGCCGACGCAAGGCGCACCGGATTCACAAAGTGCAACCGCGCACAACCGGCAGCGACGGCGTACAGACAAAACGCGCTCACAGCGATTAGATAAAGGGAGACAAATAGATATAAATAAAAAATGATAAATAGGACCTAGAAGGACGGACGCACTCACCAAGCCAATCGCAAAACCACACAACAACGCGCGGCGGGGCGCACCTACAGGCGCACAGCTAACAGCCAAGAAAATTGAGGGATAAAAGGGAAGCAAACGTTAAAAGGAGTTACAAGATGAACAACAACGCCCTGTGCGCGGCGTACGAGCTGCGCCGTACGCACCCAGCGTACTTCAGAAACGCGTGAAGTGCGACAACAAGCACAGAAGGAAAGTCAACATGCCGCGAAAGGCGCAGAAACTGTAACCGCAGCTTGCAGCGAAAGGTGCAACCGGGTCCGAGGGGAGGTCAGCACAAAGCCACCGGCGCACAAGGCGCCACCTGGTCAGAGACAAATACGGGAGGCAATCCAAGGAGCAAACGGAAGACAGCAGAGCGCCGAGCGGCGCAGAGAACAGCGGACAGGAAGGTTAACACATCGCGATCGGCGCACAAAACGCAACCGGCTCAGGGCCACAGGGCTCGAAAAAGGCAGAACCGGAAGCAAAAGGTAGAACAGGTACGGGAAAGAGTGAGGACAAAAACGAAAGGGCTTACTTGGCAATTTTGGCCTATGAGCGAGAATTGTGTGGCGACACCATTCAGACGTGCTGCATGTAAATTAAAAAAAATTACGGTAACATTATGTTACAAACGCAGCTGACAAATGTGCAAAAATAAAAAGGGTAAATATCGGTGAGTGAAAATACGTGCAGCGCAGCAGGTGACAGCTTAATGCTCTCAACCTGCTCAGGTAGCATTCGCAACGTTCGCCAACTGGAGGGAAAAGCGACGACGGACAAAGGACAAAAAAAAACAACGGAGGGAGTAACGAAGGTCAGGGCAGTAACCAGCCACGGGATACGTGCACAGCAACCGGTTACCTACCGGACACCACTTCAACTTGGGACCGATCAAAAGTAGCACCGAGAAAGGAGAGGTGAACGATTACAGTACAAAAGAAAAAAAAATAAATACTTAGAAGTACATGAATGTCATTCAAGTACATAAATAGTGAAGGAAAAAAGGAATGGACATAGATAGCAAGAAATACTAATAATGATAATCAAGGATAGAAAAGGAACAAGAGAAAACAGAAAATAAAATAGTACAAGGAAGAAAAAAAAAGAAAGGATATACAGGAAGAAAAAAACTAATAATAATAATCAAGGATATGAGAGAAATAAAAAAAAGAAAGAGAAGTAAATAAAATACTAAAAGAAGGGAAAAAACACAGTGACCACAGTTGGAAAAATATTACTAAATGATGATGTAAATGATCAATAATAAATAATAATAACAAAGAAAAAAAAAAAAGAGAAACGGAGAGTGGCTTCCAATCCGAGAATCGAACTCGGGTTTCCACAGCAAGAACAAGGAAGGCGCATGTATCGGAGTTAACCTACGTGGGACAATGTACAACTTCATCGACTCCGCCTGTTTATCGTACAACGCGTGTCAAAAAAACACGGAGTCTTCAGACGGAGTAATGATAGATGGAACGAGTTAACCTACTACTACATGGTACAACATCATCACTCCACCTGATCGTCGTACAACGCGTGTTGAGAAACACAACGCGTATAAAAAAAACACGGCCTGGTCGTCGTACAACGCGTGTTAAATAAACACAAACACGCGTGTTAAAAAACACAAGAGTTTTCAGACGGAGAAATGGTAGATGTAACGAATTAACCAACCTACATGGTACAACATCATCACTCGAACTGATCGTCGTACAACGCGTGTAAAAAAACACAATGCAGGGCGTATAAAAAAACACGGCCTGGTCGTCGTACAACGCGTGTTGATAAACACAAGCACGCGTGTTAAAAAACACAGGGTCTTTNCACGGCCTGGTCGTCGTACAACGCGTGTTAATAAACACAAACACGCGTGTAAAAAACACAAGAGTTTTCAGACGGAGATAGATGTAACGAATCAACCAACCTACATGGTACAACATCATCACTCGACCTGATCGTCGTCCAACGCGTGTTGAAAAACACAATGCGTATTAAAAAACACGGCCTGGTCGTCGTACAACGCGTGTCTAGACTATACTAGTATGGACCACATCTATCATTGCTCCGTCTGAAAACCCTGTGTTTTTTAACACGCGTGTTTTGTGTTTATTAACACGCGTTGTACCACGACCAGGCCGTGTTTTTTTTAATTCGCGTTGTGTTTTATAACACGCGTTAACGACGATAAGTTGATTAAGTTGTACATTGTCCCACGTAGGTTAACTCCGATACATGCGCCTCCCTTGTTCTTCCTGTGGAAACCCAAGTTCGATTGTCGGATTGGACACCATGTCACGAGTCGCTAGCACGCAGGGTAGAGGTCTCAAGTGTGTAAGCAGTAAGTACGTAGCAGCTCCCGCTCACGGCACGGTCTATGGTGCGAGGAAGGGGGTTATTGCTCCTGACAGGTGTTCGCTCATGCAACGATGCACACACACTGACCTCTTCTTGCGCAATCGAACGACTGTACCGAGTGCGATGAGTAGTGAAGATACTCGTACCAGCTGTAGTAGTAGCCGATGTAGTGTCGGAGCAAAGGCCTCCTTGTGGATGTTATGGTCTTATTCTTTTAGTTCAAGCTCAGGATGGTAGCTTGGTTGTGAGCAGAGGAGGGCGAGTCCGGACAGCTCTCGCAGAGGCTCCGCAGAATGCGGCCAACTACCTCTGTGGGGGTGTACTTGCGGGACAATGAATGTCTCGAACCGTAACACTACAGCAGAGGCCACCGCCCGAGGCCACACCGCCATGCAACAGTTTGAGGCAGGAATAGCCAATCTGGGGACATCTAGCAACTTGTCTAGCTCCTAGCTGCAGCATCCGATGACGACGACACGCATAT